ACAAGCAACCATCGTCTTTCTTAGAGCATTCCGTCAAATCTTTTGATTGGATTCCATTCGTAATGTCCCATCCAGAAGAAGTGCTTTCACTGTCATCAAAATCTTCTTCATAAATGATCCTCAACTGTCCATTGTACCTAAGAGAAACAGAGATGTCATCCAGCGCCCATGTGTCACAGAATAGTGAGCGGTCAAAAAAACTCTGTTGCCAAAGAAAAGACACTTGATCCAAATCTTGAACTTCAGTGGTGACATTATAAAGTATTGAGCCCTCACTGTTAGTTATAGTGCATGGAACAGTAATATCAGGATCAGCTCCATTTGAATATAAGGTCATTGTGGAATTTGGATAACATTTTGAAACTTTAAAGTATCTAGTGTCAAAGGCCACATTGTTATTATCAGCATAATAATATAACGGAGTGGGAGTGTTCCCTAGTTTCTTCTCAAGGAGGAGTATTCCTTCATTTATGTAATCCAACATCTGACAGTCACAGTTGCAGAAACACGAGTATCTCAGAATCATTGAAAATCTCAAATAACTAAAAACAAAGACATAAGCCAGGCATGTACACAAGATCAGCTTACATTTCAAATTTTTGCTGTAAAACTGGTTTAACTGGAAGACACTTTTGTTTCTCTATGGGGCACACTTGAGGCTCTATAGCTTCTATTGCAACACTAGGCTCCATCATTAAATCATCACTCACTGAGCAGTTATTTGATACTTGGAAAGGATTAATAGTTAGAGCTTTAGAGAAGATCCTTTGAGTTACATTACTGGCACAAATGGAAAGGAATTTGTCACAGAAAAAAGACGTTTCGTTACTACAAAATATTATGTAAATAATCAGTCCAGTTCAGGAGAGACATCATGTAAAGATGGGGTACTGTATTACTGGTGAGATTGCTATAGGTTTTGCTTATTTCAAAAATTGGCTTTCAAAAAAGGTCATGACTTGAAAAGTAATTGTCGGAAACAGCTCAAACTTTCTACATAGCATAAGGACATCAATACATATCAAAAAATTTAACAAAAATTTGGGATAATTTTGGAGCCATTTTTTTGGAAAAACCATGGGCTATAGCCTTGGGTATTTTTTAGAATTTTTACATTTTCTTAAAATGGCCATAACTTTAAAAATTGAAGCCAGAATCAGTTCAAACTTTCTACACAGCATAAGGATATCAATATGTATCAGAAAATGTAATAAAAAATTTGAGGTGATTTTTAGCCATTTTTTGGAAAAAACCATGGGCTATATAGCCTCGGGTATTTTTCAGAATTTTGATGTTTTCTTAAAATGGCCATAACTGGGCTATAGCCTTGGGTATTTTTCAGATTTTTGATGCTTTCTTAAAATGGTCGTAACTTTAAAAATTGAAGTCAGAATCACCTCAAACTTTCCACACAGCATAAAGACATCAATATGTATCAGAAAATGTAATAAAAATTTGGGGTGATTTCGGAGCCATTTTTTGGAAAAAACCATGGGCTATAGCCTTGGGTATTTTCAGAATTTTGACGTTTTCTTAAAATGGCCATAACTCAAAAAATTTAAGTCGGAATCACCTCAAACTTGCTACACAGCATAAGGACATCAATATGTATTAGAAAATGTAATAAAAATTTGGGGTGATTTTGGAGCCATTTTTTGGAAAAAACCATGGGCTATATATAGCCTTGTCTATTTTTTAGAATATTACACAAAAAAATTGTCAGAAATAACTTTAACTTTTTGCACAGTATACGGGTCAGAAAAAATGTAATAAAAAGTTGTCACAAAAAGACAACACTGCTTATCAAACGTGTACTCCATAAGAGCCACCATAATTACTATTATCCCATGTCTGGCACTATGATATTGTAGTACATACTAAAACTCTTCTGTTTCTTGAATAAGGTGAGTAAAACTATGAATCTGTAGGCAACTACAAGGAAGTTTAGGAGCTGCTGGTAGCGTTAGCCTATACTGCACTGCAGCATTGCTTGGTAGCTGCTGTAGAGTGATACTTTGCTTTTCATCACATTGTCCTATATTAAAATGATTATAATGTGCACTGTTAGCATCTGATGAAGTAGATACCTAAATAATAATAGGCCAAGTACCACTGAGTGAACTGTTGCTGCTGGTTTTTGTATCTGACAGAAAGCTCTATTGGAGTTGGCAAGCCATTGCAATTATCACTGACATTAAAAGTGATATTAAAATCAGCTTGATAGGTATACCTATACAAAAGAGACTCTTATTGCAATAAAAATAAATCACTTCTAACTTACTCTTTAGAAGTAGAATGAGAAAAAATAATAATCCCATGGAAGCATAAAATGAAAAAAGAGTTTAACAAAAACATTGCCGGTAGCAAACTTGAACCACAGATGAGATTGCATTATATTATATACAATAGCCTCAGGAATAACTATCATGTCAGTTAGTTTAAAAATGTTGCTAGCAGCATTAGCTGCTAATTAAAACATTCACATCACAAGATACATGACAAACACTGCTTAATTTTTTAATACATTAAATTGATAGTTTTCATTCGTCTGATATTTCCTTCTAAATGCTTGCCTCGTTTACAAAAACAAAAGACCTGTCAATCTCACTGGTGATATAATCACAAGGTAAAGGAGGAATGACCATACTGTCCAACTCTTGCTCTAATATCTTATCTATGACAGAAAGACTCGATGATCACATTGCTAACAAAAGAATGAACTCACTTGGGTCATTAGGAGGGCCTACAGAAAGGCTGTTACCCACAAAAACACTGCTGGTTGGAGTTTCACTGCTTTTACTAGTAGCCTATTGCAATCATTACAAGAATAAATGCACTTGACAGCAGATACATATAACCCACTGATTCTGATATATTCTTAATACTGCGAGTGCGACTTGAAGGCAGTGATGCTCTTTTAAGAAGCATTGCACTGAAATAGCCAGTATTAGCTCTCTTGTCATTCCAAGACTTCAAGTATGCAGCTCTTACCTGTACCATGAATGAATTAATGAATTAATGGAATGATCTTTACATGAGAAGAAAGTGGAACATAAAGTATAAATATAATAATTCCTTGAGCAGCAATGAAGACTGTCATGATGTATGCAATGAAGAGAAGCTCTTTCCTAAAGAAGAGGACATTACCAAGCCATGCTATGCCCATCACAACAGTCAGTGATAATGATGATTTCAACCAATATCTGCATGGTAGAATTTTTCAGTACAGAAATATTTAAAGGCAAGGTTCTAAGTACCTGACATCATCAACTTGAGTATTGAAAATCAGTTTCCTCCAGTGTTTCTTCATTATGCAAAAGGCAACAAACAAATAGTAAGTATTTATCTATTAAAAATGAAATTATATAATGATGAATCGACATCTCAAATTCACCAGAATGATGAGTATGACAGGTGCAATGAATGTCCATATGAATCCAGTTTCATAACTCAACCAGCAACTATTCTACATCATAATACAACTAGTATATACTGTTACTTACGCAACCAGTTCTTCATTATCATAATACAAGTAGTGATTAGGTTGATCATTACCAGTATCAACTAGATATCCAATAGGAACAACTATCATCATATAAACTCCTGGAATACCTTTTATACACAATATAACATTGTCACTAAGCATACCATTTACTTACCATAACTTAGAATAGTAAATAATACTCCATAACGTTTTGTACGAGAAATGAATATCTTGACTAACGTTATATATAGAACCACTCCTTCCATTAGCATCCACATGAATGTGACTAGAAACATGTACTGGAGTACAACAGCAATAACTGAACAGGCAACCTTAAGATGAAGCATTAGAGTTTAAGTTACAATATATTTTAAAGACTTACCTTGTTTTCAGTCCTCTGTACACCGATCAGAAAACTTAACTGAGCTATAAACAAGTTGCTGCAGAGCATTATGTGTGTGTAGTTTCTCATACTGTGCAGCTTTCTATATGAAAAGGTTTACTGAGTGATGCTTGCAAGTGAATTGACAACTTACTTCATACAAGAGTATGTTAATATTGTCAGTAA